GATGACCAAGTTGTCGCTCAGGTCCTGGGTGGGAGAGTTGAAGATTAAGGTTTTAGTGAGACTCTTACACTGCTTTAGCAGTCTGCACACTCCAGAGCGTTTTCACATCCTACATTTCTCTTCATGCACCAGGACACCAAAGCAGGTAGGGTGTGGATATTTTTCTTTTGAACCAAATACATAAAATGTACACAATTTGCTTAAGGACAAAACAATAATGACAAAGGGAGGAAGCTCTCTGCTAGGAAGGACTCTTTAGTTTCCCTTTTAAAAAAGGAAATTTGCATGGCAATTTGTTAAAGAATAACAGTGCAATTTCCATAATAGAGTGTAGAATTGGGTTGGGGTAGGTCAACTGTTACAACTAACCCCCTCTTCCTTGCCTGGGAGGTCCTTTGTAGAGGACCTATTCCCATGTCATGGGAAATGATGCTGGGTTATTTGGAAATCATAAATAATAGCACTCAACAGCTATGGGAAAACAGTATGCTGATACCATTGTTTTATCTGGGACCTTTTTTCCTCTTTTTAGCTAAATGCTTAAAGATGTTCCCAGAAAAGACGTGCTATCACTGGTTTATACTTTAGTGAGATTTTAGTTACTTCCTCTTTTCACTCTAGGCTGTGGTTCAATTAATGGAGTGAATATTTTTTTTTTAAGTTAGTCCCAAAAGTCATCTTGGCATAGTTTATATGTGAGTAGGAGCAGCTTTGGAATCAAACTGATATGTCTATAGAACAAACTTGAGCTTTCTTTTGTAAAAATTAACTAATTAATGAATTAATATTTTAGATCATTGTCTATTATTACTATTTTTTTTTACTGTGTTTGCTTTCTTTTCTCAGGCGTAGTCCCTACAGAATTTCCACAACCAGTCCACCTCTGCACCATCACCATAGTCCCTTGTGCTCTTCCCTCCCTCGTTCTGACCCCTCTTCCTGCCTCTCCCCTACAGAATGTCTCTGCAGAATGTCTCTGATTTAAAGTTGTCTTTTTTGGTTTTTAATGTTACTATTTCCCCCCGTGATGCTTTATTTGGGTCCCCTATGTTCCTCTTATAAGTGAAACCATCTGATATTTTTCTTTTTCCTTCTGACTTATTTCAGTGAGCATGGTCCTTCTATTGAGCTTCTTGCTTTAAAGAGGAATATGAACTACTGCCACAGACCATAAAATCATTCATTTCATAACCATAGTTGATGATATGGACACTAAGATCAATTTCTCTCACTGTTCTTTCATGAATTTAGTCCTTTTGGAAATTTCCTCCAGAAAGTGGCCACCACTGGGCGCATTTAGGCCAAGAGCCTCTCTTTTACTCCAGAGCTGGAATATATAAAATGTCAGGGGACCTTTGTTGTTGGATCATAAAAATGGTCAAAGAGGTCTGAATAACTGTCAGCCGACGCACCTTGAGCCAACATGGACTGGAGGAAAATATTCTCCTAGTTAGCAGCACTGCCTGGCAGCCCCTCACAAGCCTGTGAGGATTATTTATTTTGGACCTGTCACAGAGTAATAGCCCTCTGCTAACTTGATGTACATGGAACATTTATGTGCCAGGCATAGGGCTAAAGGCTTTACATTCATTATTTCATTTAATCCTGATAATAACTTGTGAATCACTTCCATTTTAAAGCTGGGAAAAAAAAAAAAAAGGCACAAAGAGAGTTGGTAATTTGCCCAAGGCCTAAAACGACTGGAACTTATTAACTACAATGAGAAGCTGTGTCCAGTAAGCCACCACAAGGGGGCTCCCTGTCCATGTCCCTTCAGTTAAAAGGCTTTGTGGTTTCTGTTTCCTAGGGGGTGGGGTCACACTTTCTCCTCCTCAGTTTCTTTCTGTCCAGATGCTGAGGGTCCTTCAACACTGGAACGTTTCAGACAAAAGTAAATATGTATTGGTGTCTATCACTATAATTCCATGTCTCAAAAAGCAAAACTCCCCAAAGAAAGCTATATACTATAAATAAAAAAATTAAAACAAAAATATGTTCAATAGTAGGAACAAGATTTTCCTTCCTGGAGTAGTAACAGAAAGAATTGGTTTTATGGAAAACGAACAAAAAGCATCAGGTTTCATTCACCAAGGTTTGGTATGAGAATTAAAAAACTGGCCTTTCCTGGTGGCACAGCAGATTAAATCACAACACTATGAAGCTAAAGCCACTTCAGCATGAGTTCAAACTCTGCCCACCCCAGAGGTGACCACGTGGTGCAGCAGACCTTTCTTGACCTGCCTGCTGCTCCCCTCAGCAGTGTACTTCATCAGTCGGCCTGTTCTGCTCCCCAC